TTAACGGGGTGGGTGGGGGAACGACACTGGGGGGGGGTCTAAGTGCCAGCTCTGCCCTTGGACCTCTTCATGCCAGATGCCCAGCCAGGACCGCCAGTATCAGTAACCCTGCTTATTATATAACAGACCCCGCGGCCAGGCAAGCAGGGGTCAGAGCCTCCCAGGCTTCTTGAGTTGGGGTGGACCTTCGCTCTCCTCTCATTTTTTCTTGAGACATGCTTTAAAATAGAAAACAGGCTTGTACAGGAACCAACCCCATAGAAACGGGTGGTTTGGAGGGATTCCCCCCCCCCACCCCCAAGTGCAAGCAACTCAAGCGGCCCAACGCTCGGCCTTCCTGGGGCGGTGGGCTTCGGCAGGGGGCGGGGAGGAGGGCTGGGGAGGGGTTCGGCTTGGGCAGCAGCCCCCGCAGGGTTACCCGGGCGCGTGCAGGGAAACGTCTCAGCAATTCCAGCGCCCGAGCGGAGCGCGCGCGGGGGGGGGATGAGGGGGGCGCGCGGCGCGGGGCACCTTGAAACCGCCGGCGGCCGCGCGCTGATTGGCCGAACCGCCGCCTCGGCGTTCCAGCCAGGCGCCCCTCCCCCCGCGCCGTCCACCCCGGAAGGAATTTCCTCCTCTGGCGGCCGCTATTGTTGTCCGCCTTCGCTGTTTGGGTCGGATCGCGTAACCATAGTATCCAAACTGTGTCCACGCGGGGCCCCAGGCTGGGACCCCTGTGCCCCCCAACCCCCCCCCACTTTTTTTTTTTTTTGCAGCCTACTTATCATGACTTCATCGGACTCCGGGGAGCAGGGGAGGGGGATGGGGCGGGGGGAGCTGGCCCACTTCTGGCGGCCCTTACTTCGAGATGTTTTCAATTATAATTTTTTAAAAAGTCTGCTTTGTGGGTTCGGGGCTTTTAAATTCTTCCCACACCCCTCTCTCCCGTTAAACCGTTGGACCAAACTTGAATGGGGGTTTCCCTCCGTTTCCCCTCTACCGCCTGCGCTCCAAACCCACACTTTGCTGCTCACAGCTGGGGGTGGGGTAGGCTTCACTGCAGGGGTCACCACCCCAAAACCCAGGACCCCCTCAAATCAGGATTGTGGTCTGGTCACTGGGCCTCGGCTTGAGCTTGGGAAAGCAAGGCTGCTGGTGGGGTCGGAAACGTCGGATTCTGTAACCCCCCCCCCGCACCTCCCCAGTCCCAGGGGAGGGTTCTTCCTGGCGGGTTTGGGGGATCCCTGGAGATGGATATGGGGGAGGAGGTACGGGGTGGATGCCCGCCAAACGTAGGTGGGCTCAGAGGGATAAGGGGACGACGGGGGAGGCAGCTGACAGGTTCTTGGGAAAACAAGCCCCATGGCCCCTCAGATTTCTGCTTCGGATCTCTGTGCATAGACATCCTATTCCGCGCGAAGCAGCCTGAGCCCAATACCTGCCCCCAGCTCTTGCAAAAAAATAAAAACAAAAGCCCTATCCCTGCGAAGTGCATTCTGCTGGGAGAGGTGGGGGAGCCAGCGGCAAGTCCGCACCGGGCAGGCTGCGCGAGGCGCGGGAGCTCCCGGGGCTGGGGCCGGCAGCGGGGGGCGGTGAGTGTGTTGGGGGCGTCAAACATTCCCAGAACTCAAGTATTCTCCCGGCGCCCGTTGGGGCGGGGGCAGCGGCCGAGGATGCCCAAGTTCGGAGCAACACTGCCCCCTAGGGGCCGCCGCCGGAGGTTCGCAGCCGGGGCGGCCAAGGGGCCTTGAGGTTAGTTCTGGACCCAGCTGGGTGTACTTGGGCAGCAGTCGCAGGAACCACCCCTAGTGACTGGTGACAAGCTAGAGGACGGTTTCCGAGCGCCAGTTCTAGGGGCCTGGGGATAAGGGTTTGTCGGCTCTAGAATTTAAAACGGACAGATAGTTGGGTGCATCTTGCAGACTTCCTGTGATGGACTGGATCATTAAGAGCAGTGGATCCAGTCCCCTGACTGTGCAGTTGGGGAAACTGAGACCCGGAGAGGGGTTATAACCTGCTTAGGGGCGTGGGGTTTGCACCCAATCCTCCTGGGGTACTGTGGCTTTGCCCTCTTTCATCCCTGACCTCAGTGGCTTGTCAAAAGAGGCATTATCAGGCATTTTCAAATGAGAAATCAGAGATGTCTTGACTTGCTCAGTCACACAGCTGAATCAGAACACAGAATCCCTGCCTTTCAGCCCAGCTGTCTATGCCATGGGGACTTTGGGGGGACATAAACCATAGGCTCAGCTAGCTGGCCAGTCTTCCACTGGGGGGTCCCTGTGGTGCTCTATACCCTCGCTGCCAGACCAGGGCAGAGGTGCTGGCTCCAGCTGAGGGGTTGTGGGTCTGCTGAAACTCGGATTCTAGGCGACTTGTCAGGGCCTCAGTTTCTCCATCTCTAAAATGGGACGTAGGCAAGAGGATCTGGAAGGCATCTTGCACCCCTAGTGTTTGATAACACTAGGCTGCTCCTACTCTTTTGTTTGTCGCAGCCTCTCTTTTCCTGCTCTCCCTGGCTCTTCGGTTCGGGTAGGGGTCGGCTGGGCTGGCTGCTTCCGCCAGCACTACCCCCCCCCCACACCCCCACCGCTCCGCCGGCCGCCGCAGAGCTTCTGCGGCTGCCCCGCCCCTCCCCTCCCCTCCGCTCATGGCTGGCGCGGAGCTGACTGTGGGAGGGAGCGGTGGGCAAGGAGCCAGTAGAGCGTCAAGTCAACCCCTTGGGAAAACAGGGTTGTGGGGGGGCGCTGCTGTCAGAGGCTGCAGCTAGGCGATGGCGGACCAGGGTCCCTGGGGGTTATTTGTGTCCAAGGTAACTGGTGTCCGAGTTGGCTGCGGGTCTCCTTCCTCTCTCCCTAGAGAAGCAGGGAGCTGTGCTGGGAGTCATTTCTACTCCTCCCTCTCTCCAACTGCCCACGAACAATCAGGCACCAAGTCTGGTCCTTTCTCCCCTTAAATATCTCTCCAGTCCTCTTCTCCCCATCCCTCAGCCACCACCCTAGTCTGTCAGACTGCTGGTCTCCAGGGGGCTCTGAATTCGCCCCCTTGAGCCTTCATCCACACTGTCCCCTGTGACTAGCTTTCTGAACCACAAAGTGCATCCTTTTCTGCTTCAGTCCCTGCTCTGTTTTCCATTGCACGAGGATCAACCCGGCGTTGATAGATAGATCCTCTGTGACCCGGGCCTGTCTGCCTCTCCAGCCTCATTCTGGGCCTTTGGGTCTAGTGTATCTTTTGGTTCTTAGTGACCCCGCATGTGACTTCAGGAACCTGTCTTGCTTCCTGGCCTCACACAAGTTGTGACCCTGGGTCCTTCCAGGCCTTGGGGATACTGAAGTGAACGAGAAGACCACTCTCTCCTGCAGAGAGCTCACGGACCACAGCAAACACAACCAGCGTGGTCATATTAGATATAATAATTGTTGATGGAATGTGGTCTTTTTTTTTTTTTTTAAGATTTTATTTATTTGTCAGAGAGAGAGAGAGAACAAGCAGGCAGAGGCAAAGAGAGAAGCAGGCTCCCTGCTGAGCAAGGTACCCGATGTGGGACTGGATCTCAGGACTCTGGGATCATGACCTGAGCTGATGGCAGCAGTTTAACTAACTGAGCCACCCAGGTGTCTCTGGAATCTGGTCTTAAGATGATCCTCAGCCCAGCCCTGGGGGTGGGGGGATGGGAGGGTGGGGGAGGTGGGGAGGGGTGGGAATCAGGGAAGTCTCCCTGAAGGAGGTGATTCTTGTGCTGAGTCCTAGGGGAGGACTAGGAATTGGTCAGATACCAATTGGAGGTGAAGAGGGAAGACAACCCAGGGGGAGAGAAATGACATGAATGACCATCAGGGTGGGCAGGCACAGCTCATGAGAGAGCATGCCCCATAAGGAATCTGGAAGACAGCGTAGCTGAAGGGTCAGAGGGTAGGGCAGCGGGGAGAGATGTAGTTGGGGAGGGAGCCAAACCCAGAGGGTCCATGCCTGTGTTAGGGAGCAGGGGAGGGTTCTGAGCCCTGGGCTGGACTGCATGCTGGGAACGCCCGCCCTCTTGCAACCGGGCCCTGGCAATGCAGAAATGACTACTTTTATTTACTCAGCCCGGCTTACTTCCTGCCTCTTTCCACAGAGGATCTGAAAGGATCTAAAGAAAAATCAGATATGGTTCTTGCCTTCAAGGAGCTCGTAGGCTGGGATAAAGAATAAACTGGGTCAAGCAGAATGAAGAAAGCACAGTGAGAACTTTGTGAAATATACACCTAAGTGTCCCTGTTCATTCCTGCTTGAAACCTCTTTATGGTGCCCTCAGGGGAAAGCCCTCCTCCTTTGCATGGCACTTAGGGCCCTGGTGGTCTGCCCTGATGGCCTCTTGGGCTCCCCTCCGCTGCACCCTTCCCACTCCTTCTCCTCTAACCAGCTGTTATCTGCGGCTCCCCTGATGGACCACGTTCTGTCTAGCCATCAGACCGGGGCCCATACTGTTTGCTCTGCCTGGAATCCTACTTCCCAGCTCCCAGGCCTCTTGCCCCTTCTTCATTCACTGCTGGTTTTTTTCCAGATGTCACGGAGGCTCTCCCTCCCTCTTGGAAGCCTTCTGTGGTCCCCAAAGCTGGGCTGGGCTCCTCCCCTCAATTCCCCTTGTACTTCTTTGTCCCAGTACCCATCCCAGCATAGTTGAATAATCCACAGGAGACTGGTAGCTGCCAACTCTGACTGACCCAGGGGTCTCCAGGTCGTCCACACCCAGGGCTCAGACTGGATGCTTAGTTGTTTTTGTTGTTGAGAATAGTAGTACTAGACATTTACTGTCTGCCTGCTGTGTGCCAGGCACTGTGTTTGCCTCTTGTCACCTGTTACTTTTCTCTTTTACAGCAACCCTCTAAGGTTGTCATCACCCTGTTTTGTAGGTGGGGAAACTAAGACTCGGAGAAGGGAAATGATTATCCAAACCATGAGGGTATTTGTCAAAACTCATCGACTTCACCTGCAAATGATACCTCAATTTTCTGAAAATGAAAAAAAGATAAGAGAACTACCATAGCATTTCATATTTCTTATGTCTAAAAAAACTCTGAGAAATAGTTAGCTTTTATTACAAAAGGAAAAAAAAAGAGAAGGCATAGTTGACTTGAGGCAGGGCTAGAACTTGACCCATGTGGCCTAGTCCTAAGCTCTTGTTGGTCCCACCTCTTATAGTCCACTAACTAAGCCATTCCGGGGGGGCCCCATTAGGCTTCCCAGGAATAAGTGCTCCTTCTAGGGCATGGGGGTTCCACTGGCAGAGAAGAAAGCCTGAAAGGAGGTGTTCAAGGTGGCTGTGAAAGTCCACGGCAGGTCAAAGCCAGAGGCTCAGGGCGACATGGTGCCAGGGTTGGAAGCATGTAGGGAGGTCATGGGAGGCGAGGCTACCTCTGTTAGCTGGGTCTCATGGGAGAAGGCCTTGACCACCTGGACAAAGTGGGCCTTGGTGTACAGGTGATAGGAGCCATTGAATCCTAGCTTTGAGCTTCTCTTGGAGGGATCTGTCCTTTGGGGGTTGGTGAGGGGTGATGGTTGCTGGCCAGTGGGGCTGGGTTTGGGGGGACTGGAGCTGGGGGCAAGGCTGGGGGGAATCCCAAGGCGTGGAGGTATCCAGAAGAAAGGTAGAGTCTGAAGAGGAAGCTGGGGTTTGAGTGTCAGCAGCCCAGCAGACACCCCAAGGCCATAGAACCTGACAGAGGAGCAAGGCTGGGCTCATGGAGCTGAATTCAGAGTTCAGCAGAGCTGGAATTAGGGTGAGCTTGGGCAGGGCAGGGGGAGGGGGGCACCAATCCTAGGCCTGGGATCCAAACCTGGCACTTCCCCTGACTCCTGCAGCCATGTGACGTTGGATAGCATCACGGCCTCAGTTTTCTCATCTGAAAAAAAAATGGGGATGTTAGTGATCCCTACTTCAAGGAAGAGTCTAGAGATTAAATGAGATGATACATACAAAGTTCTTCATACTGTGCCTGCCTCATGGTAAATACATAATGTATGTTGGATTTTTCTCCCTCTTCTTAACTGCCCCCTGCCCCCTATTCAGTCCCCTCTCCAGGGAGCTTCTTTCCCAGAGCACCCACACCAGTGAAGCCCACAGCACGTATCATTGTGAGATAAAGAATGCGGTTTTGGGTGCTAGAGGTGGCACTCTGAATCTTTCATTTCACCCCCTAGTCACCACTACGTGTCTGAAGATTTTCCCGTTGCTGGATCGTTTCCTCAGTGGGAAAATCCACCATGCTTTCACATCCATTCTTCTGGTGAAGACATCTGTGTCGTCACCAATGTCTTCTTCTCACAAATAATTCCTTGAAAAAACACCCTTGTCAGTGTGTCCCCGGGGACGCTGGGGTGGCTTAGTCGATTGAATGTCCCACTCCTGATATCAGCTCAGGTCATGATCTCAGGGTCACGGGATGGAGCCCCGGGTCAGGCTCCGTGCTCAGCAGGGAGTCTGCCTGAGTTCTCTCTCCCTCTTCCTCATCTCCTTCCCCCTCACGCCTGCTTGTGCTCTCTCTAGATAAGTAAATAAACAAATAAATAAAAATCTTAAATTTAAAAAAAAAACGTGTTCCCAGACAAAAAAATGTGTTGCCTTGTGGATCCGTGTGATAATTTCCCTGGGATATCCAGGGGGACAGCTGCTGTGTTATGGGACACACATCTACTTCATTTTACTAAATATTGTTAGGTTTCCAGAATGACTGAACCACTTGGTACCCCGCCAGGGGCACCCGAGAGTTCCCGCCTCCACACCTGCCCGCCAGCACTTGGTACCACCCACCACCCTAATTTTTGCCGGTGTGATGGATGTCAAGCGCGGCACATGAATTTGTGAGGCTACGTAGGCCTTCGTGCACCTGTTAGCCACCCGGCCTCCTCCTTCTGTGAATCGCTTGTTATGCCCTTCGCACGTTCTCCTGCTGGGTTTCCTGATCTGTCTTCCTGTTGGGGGCTCTAAGGTCAGCATCGAGGACAGCTTATAGCAACTGCCTCAGAGCAGCTCTGTCCTCTGGGGATGGAGTAATCAGGTTGGCTTGAAGGGTCTGAGCTCCCGCTCACTGGTGTCACAGTCGTTTGATATGCTGTCATTTTGTAAACCTTTTCCGAGTGCTTTCCCAGGTTGGGTCCTGTGTGTGGGCTCCAAGGACCCAATGACTCAGGCTTTCTTACGTCTAAGAACTCACAGTGCCGTGAGAGAGGCAGACTGGGCAGAAGAGTCATTCCAAAGATGAAGTAAGGGAGGTGGTACAGATGAAGAAGCGGCTTCCTCATTAGAGCGTCCGTCCCACTGGATGGTCCTGGCTTGGGTCGTGGAGGAAAACATCCATTGCTGAATCAATGAATCCACCCGGAAACTTCTAAGGGAGGCAGCTCCAAACTTGGAAGGGCTTTTGTTCGAGCCTCCTGAAGGATGGGCTGGGGCTGAGACAAGGGCAAGGGGTCCTGCACAAGTGCTTAGTCTAGCTAACACAATGGTGGGAGGGGCCAGGGTCGTGAGGAAGGGATGAGGCAGAGAGTGGAGGGGGAGAGGGGATGGGAGGTAGGGTGAGGGGTGCAGCATGAAGAGGCCAGGCATAAGGCTTAGTTAGAGCGGGGTGCCTGACTCCCCGTCTCCTTAAACCCTCAGCAGAGACTCTACATTCTCGTCTGCCTCAGATAAGTGTTTTGGAAACTAGGGGGAGAGGTGGAGTTACAGTCCAAGTTCCCTGGCTTATGACAGAATCAACCCCACAGGCAGAAGCAGGAATTTGGAATCCGAGGTGATCAGCCCCTGGGGAATTTGGAGAAATGTGAAATGCGGGGGTGCCTGGTGGCTCAGTGGGTTAAAGCCTCTGCCTTCGGCTCAGGTCATGATCCCAGGGTCCTGGGATCGAGCCCTGTATCGGGCTCTCTGCTCAGCAGGGAGCCTACTTCCTTCTCTCTCTCTCTCTGCCTGCCTCTCTGCCTGCTTGTGATCTCTGTCTGTAAAAAAAAAAAAGAAATGTGAAATGTGGAGGAGTTAGCTTCCAAGGGGGGAATGGAGGGTTTCAGGTGATCTTATTTAAATCTAAGTGGGTTTTGTAGCAGATTGTATTTTACCAAAACGGCCTCCATAATATCTTCTGTCCCATATGCTCCTCTTCAATTTGACTTTGGCATTCCTCCCCTCAAATCAAGGGTTAATATGTCCGCTCTTTGAACCTAGGTAGACCTTTATGACTCGCATGGTGGAAGGCCACAATTTCTATGATGAAGGCCAGGCCATAAAAATGCCATGCCCCATCTGCTTTGTTTCCTTGGGAGATTCATCGTGGTAGAAGCTGGCGGCCACGGCTGGCTTGAAACCGCCATGCTGTGAGGAGGCCCAAATTCGCTCACACGGAGCGGTGCCACAGAGGGGTCCTGAGGCTAAATGAACATGGGGTGATCGGCCCTGGCCCAGCTGCTGGGCCCTCTGCCGGGCTGTCTCCGGGCGCTGTCTGACTACAGCCCCTGGGGGTCCCTTAGCTGGAACTGCCCAGCCGTGCCCTTCCCTCGCGTCTCACCCACAGAAATCCCGAGAGGAAAGCACGTGATTGTTGTTTTAAGCCGCGAAGGTTTGACATGATTTGTTACAAGGCAGTAGATAATCCAGACAGGTTTATCCTTATTTTATTGTCAGTCTTCTCAGGCAGACTCTAGTTTTTGTTTTCAGTTCTGTTCTCAGCTCTGAGCTTGGAAGCTGTTATGCTTTTCAGATATTTGTTGGATAAATGGATGAACGTTGACAGTCCGTAGCAGCATGGTGTTGGGGGAACCGAAGGGTTTGTGGGAGCCCAGGAGAGACTCCTAACCCGGCCTGGGAGAGCTGAGAAGGCTTCCTGGAGGAAGTGATGCTGCTCTGAGCTCCTGGGCAGGGCTAGGCACCTAAGAATATCTGCTCCTCTTCTCTGGGTGCTACTTGCTTGTGTTTGGCCTCCCAAGTGTGGCTTCCTGGCTTGGTGTGTGTCCAGTAGGCCCATCCCTGTGTCCATGTAGGGGGTTCTCCTTCCCTATCCCTGCCCTTGCTCTCTTTTCTCCCTCCCTCTCTGGGCCTGCAGGCTCACTCCTCTGACTCTGGGTCTGGTTGGAGAAAATTAAGTCAATGGGGAGGGAGGAGTTGACAAATAGTCGGTCTGGTAATTGAATTTTTTTTTTTTTTTTCCCTCTAGCCCTCTCTCTACCCCCCAGAGAGCAGGAGGAATTAGTTCTCTAGACAGCGGTTTTCCCTGCTAAGGAGCTCTGGTGTTGCATCCCCTTTCCAGCCTAGACAAGTGGGAAGAGAGGGAGGTTAGCAGGAGCCTTCTTAGGATTCTCTGGGACTAAGCAGTGTACAGAGGAGGAAACTGAAGCGCTGGGAGGGGAGGGATTCTCTGTAGGCACTAAGTGGGTGGCTGCCTGAGCCAGGGCTAGAAGGGAAAGGCCACCTGGAGGCAGCCCTTTCCCCGTCCCAGGAACGTGGGGAACAGGGACTGGAAAGGGTTTGGTGTGAGACACAGTAGGGGCAGCCTGTTGCAAGAAGCCTGGAGCTCCTGGGTCCCTCACAGGAGACAGCCCCTTTACCACTGGTTGGGATTTCCTTGGCAGGGAGGCTGTGGAGTTGGTTGGAAGGCCTGCCTGTGCTCCTCAGGACCTGGCTATCCTGCAGGGCTGTCTTCACGTAGAGTCGCCTTGAGGAGCGGGGGTAGGGGCTCCTGGGTTGGTACTGACCTTGGGCAGAGGGTTCACAGGACTGAAATAACCCAGCTACATGCTCTACGTCTCTTCATTCTGAAAAATGGGGTGGTCTCAGGCACCTCACAGAGCCGTGAGAGTTCTGGAAGTTACTGGCTCTTAGCTGGCCCTCAATCCATAGCGTCTTGTATTGCCTCATTGTAGAGATGAAGACACTGAGGTTCCAGGAGGCCCACGTGGCAAGGGGCAGCAGGAGGATTCACACCCTGGGTGGCCTGGACTTCTAAGCCCTCTCCCCACACAGGCTTTTAGGCTCTGTGGGAGAGGTAGCCACAGGTGGGGGAGTGCGAGCCCTCCCTGTTGGGGAGAGGGTACAAGTTGGGACCCCACGGGTTGGGAATGCCAGCCTGGCCCCGGGGGTGGACTGGCGGGTGTTCTGGGCTCCCCCCTGCCCCCCAGGCCCAGTGGGGGTGGGCACCTCGAGGCCCTGCCTCACGGAGCCGTGGCGGCTATGGGCTCCAGGAGCACTTGATTTATTAAGCTAATGTTCTAGCACATTTTCCCCATCCTGTAATGAGCTGTTTCCACCAGGGGGTGTCTGCAGAGCAACCGCGGGCTTCCGGCTGCTCCAGGAGGGAGGCAGGGCTGGCTGGCAGGCGGTCTGGAGTGGGGAGGGGGGGTCGGGGTGTCTGGCTGCCCAGGGAGGGGAGGGGTGAGGTTGGAAAGTCTGGGTTGAAAAGAATCACCTCCTGGTGGTGGTAGGGGGATTTGTTAAAGGGAGGCTGGAGGCTAGTCCTGCCTCTGCTGCTTGGAAGAGATCCCACATTTCTCCCTGTACCATCCTGGCTCAGCTTCCCACCAACCCCAGGGGCCTGGGAAGGAACACTGGCCCCAGCATTCTGGCCTGGCTCCCCAGGGCCTCCCTCCACAAACTTCTGAGCGTTCTGAGCTCAGCCTGCCTACTGCCTGCTTGTTAATGGCCCAGAGCAGGCATTCCTATGGCTTGATGTGACAGTCAGACAGATCTAGGTTCAAGTCCCAGCCCAGCCACCTCCTAGCTCTGTGACCTGGGGACTGAGGGCAGGGGGATCCCTGACCTCCCTGGGCCTCCATTTCCCATTTTAGAATTAGGATGAGAAGCTGTATCTTGTGGGGTTCATGTGAGGATCAGCGAGAATGCAGGTAGAACTTTGTATAGGGT